CTGATGACCCCTGTTGGGACTCAATCCTTCAAGAGACCAAATGTTTCTTTGCTCCACTGGACAAAGGAACTCACACTCCACAGTTCCTCACCGTTCACACCTGGGGACGACCCTTCCCCCCACGGACCTTACTGGCCAGCCAGTGTGGGTCAGTGTGTGACATGTGACCCCCAAAGGTGTCACCAAACAAAACCAGATCTCTGGCCCTCTTCTCTCTCTCTTCCTTTCTTGGCTTGCTCTGGAGAGCAGCTCCAGCTCTCTCCTCCTAGTCCTTCAAAAGGGCGACAAGGCCCCAGCCCAGGCCAGCTCTGCTACCTGAGAAACCAGCTCTCGCGCCGGCCTGCTGCCAGCAGCCTGCAAACGCTCTTCTCCTCAACAACAGCGACCTGCTTCGGATTAACTGTGAGTGAACCCAATCCTCTTCAGAATCAGCAGCTACGACACAAGGCTAGCTGATTTTCCAGGCAACAGGAGTCGTAGCAGAGTTAGCATGGAACAGCTAACTCTGTGAGGAGAACAAAGGAGATAACAGCAAGCAACACAGCCAGACAAGACTTTACTCCACCAGGAAGCCTCCCAACTCACTGGACTTTACACCAACACTGGAAAGGACCTCTTTGCTTGTTTCCAGGACTGGGTAACGTTAACTGACTGGGCCTAACCTTTCACAGCATAGCATAGCACAGCACAGCATAACTAAGCAACAGAAGTCTTAACTTTGTTAATGTACCTCTTGATTGATCTGTCTTGTTGTTGTAATGTTTGCTTAGGTTGTGGTCAGTCATACAGTTAATCAGGTACTCGTATGTTCACACACATAGCAGTACGTCTCAGTTCTAGAACCTGCATGAAGCTAACCACCCCCCTCTAACCTGGTACCTTTAGATTACATGAGCTAGGCTAACAAAGAAACTCACACCTTCCCTCTCACACACCCCAGGTGGTCCAGCGGCCATTTTGAGTAGTTTCTTTGTTTACCGCCATCTTGTGTAGTCTTCTTTGTTCAGGTCATGTGGTCACAGTGACCACTTTGAATCGGCCATCTTGCCTTTGTTTGTGTCCTCACAAACACACCCACAAACACACACACAAACACACACACACACACATACACACACCTGTATATACTAGATCAGACATTGTGTTTTACTCTGCTCCATGGTAAATAAATGCCTTTAAGTACAACTACTGGTGTGTTTAATGTTGCACAAGCGTGAATGTTGCCAACCTCTACTTTGTAGAATTCCAATCCTTCAACTTTAACTTACTGTTGATTTGGTAGTTTGGTTATAGTTAGTAAGCTAATTGTTAATCAGAGTTCCAGATTAATGGTAATAATTTGAGACTAAAACTATATTGGCTATTTTGCCTATTTGTTTAGGCTGGTACCCCGTGA